TGCGGGGGGGGACACAAAGACCGGGAGGAAGAAAACCATGAGGAAGAAGCTTGCCTGTGGCCCTGGCATGACAGGGCTGTGTGGTCCCCAGTAGCCAAGGAGCACAGCCATGGCCGGCCAGGGCCTGCCGGATGCCAGGCCGGACAATCCCCGAGCCCCGGAGCTGGGAGACTGTGGGGAGGGACCTTTCCCAGAGGACACGGGAGACGGGGGTGTTCTGGAAAATTCTGGCTCCAGTGGAAAACACAGTGAATGTGGTCACAGTTCTGCTGCCAGCTGGCCGTGTGCCCTGGAGCAGACACTGCAGCCCCTGAGCCTGGCTGTCCATCTGTTCCAATGATCGCGGATATGAAGCCGCTTGGCCCTTAGGCACTTAGGGGGTTTCCGCTCAGAAGTCGTAACGGAAATGCTTTGATTTCACCAAAATGTCCGCCCCACAGGGGCAGGGTCCTCATGTTTGCTTCCCTGCCCCACATCCAGCCCCCAGGCAGGGCTGACACTTGGGGGGGAAGTGATGGGGGGGCAGTGAGTCTCTGTGGAATCTACAGGAGAAGTCATGAGGTCCCGGCTCCTCCTCGGCCCCCTGAGCCCTGCCCGCTCTGTGCCCCCACAGCGCAGCCCAAAGTGAGCGCTCAGGGAGAAAGTGGGCAGGTGTGGTCACCTCCTCCCACCCCAACTCCAGGCGGGGGGTGGGGGGCACGTACCGTGGGAGGGGACCTTCACTTCGCACGCCTGCAGCATGGGGAACACCCTTCCTGCCTGCCTGCCTCGCGGGCTGTCATCCTCACGTGAGGCCACATGCTGGAACGGAGCTGTGCACAGCGGTGCTCAGCCAGGGTGAGCTGCTCTGCTGCTGCTGCTGCTGCAGGACCTGCGTCACTGGCCCCCTGTCCCACCCACTGCGCCCGAATGAGGCCCGGCCCCATGTGGGGCATCGTCCCACGTTGCCAAGTGCGCCCACCTGCCCTGTTCTGCCTGCCTGCCTGCCTGCCTGTGTCTCCGCTCGGCACCCAGGGGCATCACCATAGCAATGAGCTCCATCCCGCCGTGTGGTGCGGCCCTCGGCTCGCCCTGGGGCTGGGTTCCCTCTGATCTCTCCTCTGACTTAGAAGATGTGGGGCTAAGTGAGGTCATGGGCAGAAACTGCTCTTCAGGGCTCCAGGGGCTGGTCACCAGAGAGATCACTACAAGAGGGGACGCGGACGCGCTGCGGCTCTCCCAGGACGCGGAAGAAGCATGGGGAGGCCAGGTGTGGGCCTGGGCCCCGGGCCTCTCCGGTCCGTCCAGGTGTCACACTGTGCCCACCAGAGCACGCCCACCTTCACCCTGCAGGTCAGGGACCAAGTCCGCAGGCATTTCCTTGGGGCACGAACCACAGGTCCTTTCCCTCTGAAAACACTGCTCCCTGTCACGGCGGGGACCGAAGCCAGAGAGAAAGCCACCGTATCCCCACGTCCCGGGAACAGCTGTGAGCTGGGAAGCGTGGCTGGGAGGACCCAGGGAAAGGGCGGCCTTCCCAGGGGGTTTGCCAACGCTGGAGACCGACTCCCAAACACTCCCCACCTGCCACTCACTGCGCCTTTGCCTTAAACACTGTCCTCTGTCCAAACACAGCCCCCTGCTCACCACGCTGCCCGCACCAGCAAGCCTGGAGCCATTCCACTGCACGTGCGCCTCTCCCAGAGCTTTGGCCCTACGAGGGGGCGGCAGGCAGAAAGGCCCAGGCAAGGGAGAAGCAGGGCAGACACAGCAGGGGCCAGCGGCCCTGTCCTTCCATCTCCGCTGGGGCCCGGGGCCCTCTGATGTCTGGGCGGGGGCATGGAATAAAATCCCGACTGGCAGCAGCAATCCCAGAGATCAGGGCTACTCAGGGGCTGCCCCCCTCGCCCCACCTCCTCACCGAGCTGGGATGGGCCGAGTGACTCTCCACCCTGGCGCCCCCCTGCCCTCCTGCAGGAGCTTACTCGCAGGTGCAGGTGGTCCGTCCAGGAGCCGATGACCTTGTACTCAGCAGAGCCGTTGCGCAGCTGGTACTGGTAGATGTCGTAGCGGCCGGGCGCGTCTCCGTTCTCGTTGAAGGTCACGGGGTTCCCGGCAATGCCTGTGGGGACAGCGGGAGTCACACACTCAGTCTCCTTGCTGAGCCCACACCCAGAGGCTGGAGGACTATGAGCCCGGGGCAGACGCCTCCGGGGGGGCCCTGCATGGAGATCCGGGAGGCTTCCCCCTCGACCCCACCCCCGGGGCCCAGGACCCCCGGTTGCCGGTGCCACGCACCGCGCTCCCACCTGAGAAGTTGACGCTGCGGATGTACTTGAGTAGCTGGGTGCCGTCCACGGGGTCCATGCGTGGGCAGAGCCCCACGCGGCCCGGACACAGGTCCCGGTGCATCGCGTGCAGCGCGTGGCCCATGGCGTACACGGCGTCGATCACAAACTGCACCTTCCCCTCCTGCTCGTACGCTGAATCCTGCCCAATGCGCTCGCGGTCTGCAACCAAACACCTGGCTCCTAGCCCACTGCTTGCTCTGCTCCCCAGGAATCAGTCTGGTGGAGGCAGCTGGGGGCCCCGAGGGGTGAAGGGGAGGGCCTGCTGTTCTCCCCACTGTACCCCTGGACCCTGTGCCCCGGGGCCCCAGAACAGCCAGGGCGGACTGCCCCCGCCTCCTCGCCTACAGCGGGTGCAGCACCCATGACAGCCTAGACCCCTCCCTCAGGATCCAGGATCCCACAGCCAATACACGTGGGCTGTTCAATTACCCAACTGCCTGTACATCCCACCTCTCACTCGCTCTCTGTCAACGACAACAGGTCAGCACCTCTCGCCGGCATTGTGTTCAGCCAGCTTCTCAGACACTTTCATCTCCAACCCTCACAACACCCACCGATGGGTGTGATCTGCCTTGTTCTACAGACAAACTTCTGAGACTCGGAGGTTAAATACCTTGTCCGAGGCCACACGGCAGGGAGAAGGCAGAGTCAGATCCAGACCTGGGTGCCCGGTCCAGAGCCAGCACTCCATGGGTGTCACCCTGGTCCTCCTGGCCAAAGACAGTCTCCCCAGGGACCGGCTTGGCAAGGCCATGGGAAGCCAGAGCGGGGTCTCAGATTCCACCACGGAAGCGGGGTTCCCCTCCTGAGGCCACAGCCCCTGCGCACAGCATGGCCGCAGCCTCCTCCCTCAAGGCCAGGACAAGGAATGAACCCTCAGAAGCCACCCCACCCATGCCAGCCCGCTGGAGGGCCTGACACACCTTCCCAGGCAATTCCCTGCCCCCGGAGCCACCCGCCTGAGCCTCCAGGATCCGTGGTGTGGGGGCCAGGTTGGGACCCCTGGGAGCTCTGAGGTCACTGTCCATCCCCCTCCGCCCACACCGGAGACAGACATGGGTGCCGGGGGCACCCTGCTGCCCTGTGGTCTGCTCCCCATCCAACCCCCACACCCAGAGGCTCAGTCCCCACCCGGATGGCCACCCTTCCCAGCCTGGCTCAGGACAGGGCCCCAGGGACTGCTGAGTGGGAGCCAGAAACCACGGATTGCGGTGCTGGGTGGCAGGCCCCTGGGATCATCTGCTCCAATTCTGTCATTTACAGATAAGAAACCTGACGCCCAGAGAGGCGGCCGCACGTCCAGCGCCAGCCTCGCGGGGACAGGACGAGCACTCCCAGCTCCAGTCCCTCCCCGCCTCCACCCCAGACTGCACTTGACCTCAGGCCCCAGGACCCCAGCTCACCCCCGGGGGAGAGGGGTCCTGCATTTTACACAGTGAGGTCACCGCGCCTGCCTGCCAGGGCTCCTACCCTTGCCTCAGCCGCCAAGGCCCCGTGACCCAGGGTGAGCCTGGCTCCCATTTCCCCACCTCGGGTCAGAGCCGAGAGTCATTACTCAGACTGGACGGTTCGGGGCAGATGACCAGTGGCTCTCCGGGGGCAGTTTGCTCCAAACAGAGCCCGCCCCTCTACGGTATGGCCTCAGGGCTGGAGATGGGCGGCCCAAGGCTGCCGCCCCGGCCCTGGCAGTCAGCTAAGCCCCTCACCACCCGCCATGCTGCACTGCATGGGCACCAGATGTCTGGGCTGGAACCCCCGCTCCGCCCACGCCTCTATCCGTGTGACCTTGAACCCATCACTCCGTCTCTCGGCTTCAGTTCCGGGCCAGGACGGGGACCCCGGGGGGACTAATGGTCTAATATTCACAGCGGCCTGGAGGCCTGGGGCTCGCCAAGTGCCACAGAAGTTTGTTCAACTCCAGGTACAAGGACGTGGAGGCCCCGCCTGCCTCGGGCTCCGCACAGCAGAGCGTTGCTAACAGGCAAAGCTATTTCTAGGCCAAGGCACGAACAGACACAGGATGGACGTGAAAGGCAAACCTCCCAGCTTCCGCAGCGCAGCCTGCCTCTGTCCGAGGCCTCTGATCACAAGCTTCTAAAAGCGGAGCTGGGAAATGCAGGGAGCAATCCTGTCCTCAGAGGGCAACAGAGGGGGCTGGGCCGGGGCGGCCTGGGAAGCCCCGACCTGGACCCCACACTCCCGCAGGCAGCCCCTGTGTCCTGCCCTCTGCAGCCTGAAGGAGGTAAAACTCAGCTCCCCTAGCTCCCTCCCCGGTTCAAAGGGACAAGAGATTGAATGCTTAAGGAGGAGGCAGGGGAGGAGGCTGTGGCCTCGCAGAAAGGAGGCCGCCCTCCCAAGGCCACTGGCCAATGGACCCCAGTGGCCCTCAGCTCTGCTCTCCCGTCTCCCCAGGGGCCCCTCCTCAGCTTCCTGCCATTCCCCACAGGGAACCTCACACTGGGGAACCTGTCTCTGCCTGGGCTGCTGTGGGCCCCCCCAAATCTCCACCCCAAAGCTGCCAGGGACTTCTAGAAACTTCTCAGCACACTTTCACGTCCTTGACTTCTGCTCAAGTCTAGCCCCAAGTACAGATGAGAAAACAGGTGCAGTGAGGTGGCCTGCGAAAGACCTTTATCTTCGAGAGTGCAGAAGCCTGAGTGAGCCCTACACACACACACACACACACACACACGTAATTTTACACTTAGAAACTCTGGTAAATGAGCATCTTAATCATTGCCACTTTTTTGGCGAACCTTTAGCAGAAATGAAGGTGAACATTGGCTTTGCTCTACGATATTTATAGCCCAATTTAGTATCTAGAATTCCAGGCATAGCCAAGTAAAATATCACATAATAAACCTATGGAAGGAATGTGTTACTGTCATCACTTTAACATTACTTAAAATAATGGAGGAAGGGCATGTGTGGGGGGTTGGCCATGGAGGGGTAAAGGAAGAACACTTCCAAATAAAA